TCGGGGGAGCCCGGGGGGCCCCGCGCCGCCCGGCCGCGGCCGCGGAGGAGGCGCCGCCGGCGCGCGGAGGTGAGTCCACGGGCGGCCGGTCGCGCGGGGCCTGGCGGCGCGGGTCGCTCGTGGGGCCCGCGGTGGCGGCCTCGGCGCCGGCCCGTCCTTGAGTGCCCTCTTCTCCCGGCCAGACACGAGGACGCCGCGCGGGGTCCCGGCCATTGGCACTCCGGAGCGGCCGCTGGAGCGCCCGCGGCCACCCGCGCCGCCGCCTCCCTGTTCCCCGCGGGCCTTTGGCGATGGCGGGGCGTTTAGAGAGTCCCCGGAACCTGCTCTGGGCCTGACAGGGAGGCCCGGCGTGCGGCCGGGTGACCCTGGCCGACCGCAGGTAACAGGACCCGGAAGCAGCCGGGAGGCCAGGAACCCGAGACCAGGCCTGGGTGATCCCTGGTTGCCTGCGGGCCTGCACTCCTCCCGGGAGCTCCCCTCTGCCCTGGGCTGAAGGCTGCGGAAGTGAGTCACCGGTGTGGAGCGTGCTGACGGCCAGGGGTAATCCTGCCTGTCCAGCTTTAGTGACTTTCTAAATGCAAAGAGTGGCAAGAGCATGTGTTTCCCTGGCCCGGCGCGGACAGGGGCAGCCAGGGCTCCGTAGCTTAGCAAGGCAGGTGGGTCTTAAAGGAAGCCTGGTTCTGGCCCCTGACCCTACACCTGTGTGAAAGCTTCAGCCTTTCTACCGGGGAACCTGAGGCCCCTCTGCCGCTCCACAAAGGGAAGACAGGCTTTGCCTGGTCTTGATGATGGTGGAAGCTCCTGCGTGTCAGACCCTGCCTACACCAACCTCCCCCTGGCTTCTTCCCAGGCAGTGGGACAGCACTCTGGTAACTCCCATCTTAACAGGTGGGAAACAGGCTGAGGGATAGCACTTGCTGCCAGGAGAAGGGTGGAGAGAACTGAAGCTCCAGGTCTCTGACTCACAAAGGCTACTTTTCAACCTCCTTGTTTCAGGCCAGCCAGGGTTCTGCTGGCCTGAAAACCTCCAGAAACTACATGCAGTTCATGAGCTGGTTTGTGAAGAGCCTGAAGGAAGGCTTTCATCCTCATGGCCATTCAGACAGAGCAGCCCCAGGTACAGCCCTTAAGCTCTCAGTGTGATGTCTCTGCTCACTGCACCAGGTAGGGACAGATACTGAGAAGGCAAATGATATTAAGTGGAAACAATTTGGGCTCTTTGAGAAACACACCTACAGAAATGCAGGCATGCTGGTGACTAGCCACTTCACTCTCATTCTGACCTTGTGGGCCATCCTGAACTGTGAGGCACAGCTGTGGGATTGATCCATCTCTTCATCACACATGCAGGCTCTGAACTCTGCCCTGGGTCCTTGGAAGGGGGCTCTCTGGTTCTTTTGCTGGTTTGCTGTAGCTCTGTAGGACCTTCTAGTACCCTTTCCACACCCACTAGAGCACTTGGTACCGTGGGTGCATCCTGAGGTGCCATGTGGTGTTCTCTTTCCCCACCCTACTTCCTCACTCCCTCTCACCTAAAGCCTAACTCATCTCTAACTTCTCAGCAAGGACACAGGCTCTACCACTGTGTCTTGATCTGCAGAGCCATTTTTAACCCATGCCCTGTCCTGCCAAGAGAGCGCAGAAGGTCTTTGTCAGGCTCCAGTGTTGTACTGGCTCTCTACAGGGTTCTGCTGGCAGCATTCCTGTTTCACACATCTCCCCTTCTGGGTGCAAACTAAAAGAGGGTGGGTCCTATTTCTGTCTCTCAGTAGGCCCCATGCCCAGCTCTGTCCAGCCCTGCACTGAACAGGTGGCCAGTAAGCATCCTCAGTCAGCTGTTCACACAGCAGCTCTGGGTCAGTTGGGTTCTGAAGCCTAGGGTGGGGGTAGGGGTTGTTCCTGTAACATTGTAGCCTCTTTGGAAATGGGGAAGGGGTGGCATCATATGACCACAGCTTGTTTCTGAGTCTAAGGAATCTACTTGCGGGCTTGTGACTCTTTCGTGTCACTGGAAGGTGCCAGAGAAGGCTGTGGGTAGACTAGGCTGGGCTTGGAGACCTATTTAGTCACAGTCTTGTCACTCCATGGGCCTCTCTGCATGGTGCCATCAGGACAGGGCCTGCTGCCAGGCCCATGTAGTATAGGGAATGAGAGCTGTGGGAGGACAGAGAGGCACCCTAGCCTGGTGCAAAGACCAGAAGGGCCATATAGCCCTGGGCAGTCCTCCTGTCCCTTTGCATTTTGCTGCATGGTTGTCCAATGATGTGGCTATCCCTCCTACAAGGCTCACCAGGCATTGAGGCAGGCTTGCTCAAGTCTGTGTGTTCTAAGACCACGTGGGACATGTGCCTTGGGCTCTCTGCTCCCGTCCAGGCAAACAGACACACTGTCATGGTTTTACTGCCCCTACCTCCAATTCCATGGTGGTCAGGCTGGAGGACCTGCCTGGACAAAGCTTCAGGATATTAGGGGGAAAACAGGTTGATAACTGCTCTTTGAAAATGTCATCATAGCTACGCTCATTGTGGACAGGCCTTGCAGCTTCTGGCTACTCTGGGAAAGCAATGTGCTTCACTGCAGAGGGAACCTCTTCCACTTTTCTTGAAAAAGTTACCCTTTGGAATTAATGACTCAGGCAGGTTGAATCTCTTGGACCTTCTGCTCTTTGTCCAATCCTACCCCCATCCCCTTTTAATGGGAATGACAGCAAATTCTGGAGCTATTTGGAATCTCTGCCTTTCTGGAGAGGTGGTTATGGAGAAGCCAGAACTTACTGGGCAAGAAAGTGCCAAGAGATCTGCTGTGGAACAGGATTCTGTATTCCCACAGTTCCCTGTCTGCTTCTCTTTGGGGCCAGTGGAGGACTTGGGTGCCCCTGGAATTTCTGTTCTGCTACCAGTAGGGTCACTAGACCACCCAGGCCAGGGTTTTCCTTCTACCATTGACAAGAAAGAAATATGAAAGTGCCAAAAAACAAGAGTGCAGCCAGGTATGGTGGCACATGCATTTAATCCCAGCTGCTCCAGAGGCTGAGGCAGTTGAGACCAGCCTTAGCAACCTAAGAATCTGTCTCAAAAAGGGCTGGCTCACATGTTTTAAGTCCATTGTTCAATCCCCAGCACCATATACACATAAACCAAGTGCTTGTCTTGTATATTTTTTTCTGTTGAAAATAGTATTCCACATTAAACAATATTGAACTTGTGAACTAAAATCCTAAGTATGTGCTTGTTTCCCTGACAATACCGTTTTGAAGAGCATAATGTTTTTCACAATGCATAAATAAGGCGTCTCTTAAGACACATAAAGACATGCAGTATCACCCCCTGTCCCTGCCTAGGATGCAGCAGTATGAGTATGTAGATGACCCTCCAGATTCCTGTCCTGAGCTGCTCAGGAAACCCATCTCTTCTTATACTGAAGAAGGCCAGCGTTCTCAGTCCAGCCCCCAGGGTCTCCTGGGCAAGTGGGGAGTCCCAGAGCTAATCTGAAGAGGCCCACAGCTAGAGCCCCAGTGCTATATTGTGTCTCATGGACCATGCAGTGTTAAGTCCTGATTTTCTTCCTGAGCTAGTGGCTGAACTTTTAAAATTGGACATACTTGGAGAAATCTGGAACTTAAAAGAGAGCTGCCCTGTAGCACATGATGGGAAAGCTTCAGCTTGGGAGGATGAGGGGACAGGGCATGCTTCTTCCCAAGTTTGTTGGCAGAAAGTGCTCCTACTTTTATTTCAGTAGGTGAATTTCACTCTCAGAACCTCCGTGGTTCATTCTCTGAGGTGGACAGCATCCTTCCTGCTCTAGTGAATGGTGGTATCCACTGTCCCTTGTTCACATGACAGGGCAAGATCTGAGCTGGTGCAGGAGACTGCAGAGTGCCCAAGGAAGGATAGGGTAGTGAGTGCCATGACAGTGGTCCCTCCATGGTGATCAGGTGTTGAGAAGAACAGAACTGGGATTGTTGTTGCCCAGAGCCCTGCTGCCACCTGTGCACCTTTTCCTGGCAGCCCAAGTTCCCGTCCCAACTGGTGCTGGTCTATGGTGCTGCTCTGCCCCTGGATTCTTGCCCAAGGTCTTTCCTTGTAGCAGTGCCAGGCTGAGGGAAGTCAAGACAGGATCTTGAACAGTCTCCTCTGCCATTCTGGCTGGTCTAGAATTGACCACAGGCCTTTAGAACTAGATTAGACAGGTCAGGGTCCTCAAATCAGGGCAATGAAAAGCCAGCTACACCATGCTGCCCCAGGTCCCTGGTCTACTTCAGTTGTGGGACAGGTGGAGTTCCTAACAGGAAAGGGCCCTCATCCATGTGTGCTGTGGTAGGACAGTGAAACCCTCCAAGTGGTTCTGGGCCCTAATGGGGGGTAGGGCCTGGGCCACATGGGCAGTCAGGA